GCGCAGGCACTAGCGTCAGCGTAAGCATCACGCAGGCACTAGCGTCAGCGTAAGCATTGCACAGGCACTAGCGTCAGCGTAAGCATTGCACAGGCACTAGCGTCAGCGTATGCATCACGCAGGCACTAGCGTCGGCGTAAGCATCGCGCAGGCACTAGCGTCGGCGTAAGCATCGCGCAGGCACTAGCATCAGCGTAAGCATTACGCAGGTACTAGCGTCGGCGTAAGCATCACGCAGGCACTAGCATCAGCGTAAGCAGTGTCGGCATAAGCATTACACAGGCACTAGCGTTGGCGTAAGCGTCATGCAGACACTAGCGGTGTAAGCGTCACGCAGGCACTAGCGTTGGCACTTTGGCGTAAGTATAACGCAGGCACTAGTGTCAGTTTAAGCATCTGTTGTGGCTCCGTCTTGTGAGCCCCTCTTATCGGAGGAAGAAGGCTCCGAACATGAAGGAGAGGAGATGGCCAGGCCTCCCTCTCCAGGACCCTCCTCTCTGGCAATGCCTCCGGTGTATCCCGACGGAGAAGAGATTGACCAGGAGCCAGGTGTTTCGGATAGTGATGAAGATACGTTGTGGCTGGATCCACGCCAGCGTAGGCGCGACAAGCGTGCGCAGCAGAAAAGGAGGCGTGCCAGAGATTAAGCTGAGTCACTGGACCACACCCCACAGGCTTTAAAAGGGAGGTGGTGGCCATTTGGACTCTGTGACGGACAAAGCTAAATCTCTGGCGAAGTAGTTTGCTGTGGATTGAATTTCAAACTGCGTGTATTGTTTTTTGTTTCTGTGTTCTCTGAGTAAAAGTTCTTGGTAGGCAGTTACGGAGCTGCTGCCAAGTTTCTTATCTGTGGCGTGGCGTGTGGAGAAGTTATTTAACCCTCGGCTGGCTGTTTGTGTGTGTGTGTCAGACGGGGACAGAACAGCGTCGTGCAGGAACTAGCGTCGCCGTCACGCAGGTACTAGCGTCAGCGTAAGCATCACGCAGGCACTAGCGTCAGCGTAAGCATCTCGCAGGCACTAGCGTCAGCGTAAGCATCACGCAGGCACTAGCGTCAGCGTAAGCATCGCGCAGGCACTAGCGTCGGCGTAAGCATCGCGCAGGCACTAGCGTCGGCGTAAGCATTACGCAGGTACTAGCGTCGGCGTAAGCATCATGCAGGCACTAGCGTCAGCGTAAGCAGTGTTGGCATAAGCATTACACAGGCACTAGCATCGGCATAAGCGTCATGCAGACACTAGCGGTGTAAGCGTCACGCAGGCACTAGCGTTGGCGCGTTGGCGTAAGCATAACGCAGGCACTAGTGTCAGTGTAAGCGTGCAGGAACTAGCGTTGGCGTAAGCATTACGCAGGCACTAGCGTCAGCGCAAGCACTAGCGGCGTAAGCGGCGCGCAGGAACTAGCGTTGGCATATCGCACGGGCACAATATCGCCACGAGTGTCACTTGAGCGCTATTGTGAGCGTCACGTGGGTGCTCGTGTCACCGTTGACACTTGATGCTTGAGCGTTGCATGGATGCTCGCGGCCCTGTTTGTGGCACGCACACGCTCGCGGCCCTGTTCGCTTTGCATATGCGCCCTTAAAGGTGCGTGCCCCTCCCTTTTGCTCTGGGCCACCAACCCAGAAATAGGGGACCTCTGCTTTACAGTGTCTGACGTCAGTCTTCCCATCGTTGAGATGCGGCTTCATCTTTCTCAACCAACGGAGAGCAGATTCTTCAATGCTCTTCCTGGTTGTCTTCTGACAGCCCCTTTCTCTCTCTCTCTCTTTTTCCAGGGCTACTACCCTTCCAACAAGCCCGGGGTAGAGCCGAAGAGGCCTTGTCGTCCCATCAACCTTACTCATCTCATGTACCTGTCTTCCGCCACCAACCGCATCACCATCATCTGGGGCAATTACGGGAAGGTGAGTATCGTGGCGGCTGGCAGGAGGGAGGGCAGGGGGAGGGGAATCAAGCAGCCATCGCCTTCTCTCTTATTTTTCCCTGCTTTCGGCACCAGCAGGCCTCGCCTGCCTTTCAGGGGTTGGAGCAACTGGCCCAGGGTGGGGCGGGGATTCGCTTTTCCAGATGTCTTTGACACCGCATCGGGCCTGGGAGAGGCAGACCTTGCTGGTTTTGTGGTACCCGTGATGCTCCACTGGGCGTTCCAGCCATGACGAGGGGCTTCTTTTAGAGTGACACTAGCCCTGATGATTTTACCTAGTTGGGTCATGAAACATCTGCAAGAGCATCAACAAGTTCAGAGAGCACCAAGGACCCCACAGCCATTGTTCTCCTCCTCCTCCTCCTCCTACATCCTCTTCTAGCCCTGATGATGTTACCTAGTTGGGTCATGAAACATCTACAAGAAAATCAACAAGTTCAGAGAGCACCAAGGACCCCACAGCCGTTGTTCTCCTCCTCCTCCTCCTCCTCCTCCTCCTCCTCCTCCTCTGCCATCCCCTTCTAGCCCTGATGATGTTACCTAGTTGTGTCATGAAACATCTGCAAGAAAATCAACAAGTTCAGAGAGCACCAAGGACCCCACAGTCATTGTTCTCCTCCTCCTCCTCCTCCCCCATCCCCTTCTAGCACTGATGATGTTACCTAGTTGGGTCATGAAACCTCAGCGGTGAAGCCAGATTCACTTAACAACCGGGTTACCAATTGAACTGCGGTGATTTGCTTGACGAACATGGCAAGAAAAGCCATTAAAAAAATGGGGCAAAACTCATTTAACAAATTTCTTACTGAGTCACATAAATTCTGGTGACAATTGTGGCCGTAAGTCAAGGACTCCCCTGTATTTTTAGAGAATTGTGCTTAGGGCATTACACACTTTCTGTTCTCCCTGTCCTTCACAGAGCTACTCGGTGGGCCTCTTCCTGGTGCGACAGACCACGTCGGCAGAGTTGTTGCAGCGATTAAAAACCATCGGCATCAAACACCCTGAATTGTGCAAGGCCCTCGGTGAGTTGGTTCAACTCTCCTTCCGTCTCTCTCTCATTACAGTACAGTACAACACAACACAACACAACACGACACATAACCTTTATTGTCATTTTTTACTGTGGGCACAATGGCGCACATTAAAAATGACAGTTGCTTGCTCTCAAAGTGTACACCTGCACAACACACATTTAAACATACTATATACAACGTATGTATAGACCTACACGCTTCCATATTACAGTAGTGGCCAAAATGGTGGAAACCTTTTGGGGAAAAGTGTACAGTAGAAATGCCACCTTTGGTTAAGCTTCCACCCATTTTTCTTCTAATTTCTTTATCGTTGTAGCCTTGTTCACTTAATAATACTATTTTACATTGCTTTCTGGGTGACCGGTCAGTTCTTTGCACCGTTACTTTAATTTTATTGTGTTTTACAAGCTCACTCAATGAAAGAACACAAAAAAACCCCCAACCAACTTGATAGCCATCACATAACACCCTGACAAATGTCCTCCTCTCAGCTTCAATACACGACATCAATAACTGGATCCTACTGTGATCTGATTGGCTCATGGCCAAAACAAGATGACACCCAATTGGCTCTCTAAACACTCATGCTCATTGGCTACGATCAGACGAAGGAAAGCTACCTGAGATCAACCTAAGCAAGTTGTGCTTCCTTTTTCTGGTTATTTGGCTATAACTTTTCCTAGAATACAGTACAGATAATTGAACAAACTATGTTGCATTACATTCTTGATTAAATTATCTTTCCATTGATATATAATTTTATGGTACTACTCCCCCCCCCAAAAAAAAGTGGTGTTATAAGCCATCACACCTCAAAAATACACTTTTCCCAAAAGGTTTCCACAATTTTGTCCGCTACTGCATATGTTTCTTAAAAACATATAAATATTAATCACTGTCCATCTTGAATACATAACAGAAGGAGGAAGCTTTAAGAGTTCACGAGGTTGATACTGTATGGCCCCTGTGACTGAATCTTCAGCTTAGCCCGGAGGGTCATTGAAGGAGTTTATGTCACAGAATTAGGAGTCGAGGAAATGTAGTAGTAATTTTTATTACCGTCACAGACCAACGTTAGAAATAAGCATAAAAAAATATTAAAAAGACAAGATATTTAACAATGGGTAATGGATCGTCAGCAAATAGTCAAAGTCTGCCTACTTTTGCAGACAGCATAACAAAATTTACCCACATTCAAAGTGACTACATCCAATTGATCTGATAACAATTATCACACCTCTGTGTATTAATGATTCACCTGTGGAGGTGGTTAGCAGCATCAAGTTTCTGGGTGTGCAGCTAACAAGTAGGCTGGCTTGGTCGCTCAACAGTAAGACGTTGGTGAAGCGGGTGCAGCAGCGCCTGTATTTTCTGTGTTGCATGAGGAGAGCACATCTTCCTTCCACTGTCCTGACCACTTTCTACAGGGGGACGTTGGAGAGCATCCTGTCATACGGCATCACAGTCTGGTTTGGAGGCATCCCTGCTTCTGACAGGAAGAGAGAGTGGTGAGAGAGCGCATGCAGAGAGTGGTGAGGACAGCTGAAAAGATTATTGGCAGTTCCCTCCCTTCCATCCAGGACACAGCACAGAAGCGCTGCTTGAGCAGCGTCTGCAGGATTGTCTGGGGACACTACACATCCTCTCCATGACCTGTTTTCCTTGTTACCTTCTGGGAGGGGGGGTGCAAGCTTTGTGGTATCCGAAGCAGTCACAGTTGTGTCCCATACATAGCATCAACCTTGTGAACTCTCAAGCTTTCTTTCCACTATTCCACTATGTCTTCAAAATGGACAATGATTAGTGTGTGTGTGTGTTTAGGTGTGTATCTATCTATCTATCTATCTATCTATCTATCTATCTATCTATCTATCTATCTATCTATCTATCTGTATCTATCTATCTGTATCTCTCCATCTATCTATCTCTCCATCTATCTATCTCTCCATCCATCCATCCATCCATCCATTATCTATCTCTGTCTGTCCGTCCGTCCGTCCGTCCATCCATCCATTATCTTTATCTCTCTCTCTCTCTCTCTCTCTCTCTCTCTCTCTCTCTCTCTCTCTCTCTCTCTCTCTCTCTCTATCTATCTATCTATCTATCTATCTCCATCCATCCATTATCTTTATCTATCTATATCTATCTATCTATCTATCTATCTATCTATCTATCTATCTATCTATCTATCTATCTTATCTCCATCCATCCATCTACCTACCTACCTATCTCCATCCATCCATTATCTTTATCTATCTATCTATCTATCTATCTATCTATCTATCTATCTATCTATCTATGTTATATCTATCTATCTATCTATCTATCTATCTATCTCTATACAGTATATCTATATATATCTATATATACATCTAACTATGTCTGTCTGTCTATCTCTGTGTGTGTGTTTGTGTGTGTGTATAGCATGTGTTTATGTGTGTTAGGTATGTGTATGGGTAGATATATACTTTCTTTTGAGAGCAGGCAACAGAATTTCATTTTTAATGTGGGCCAGTGTACCCACAGTAAAAAAATAACTATAAAGGTTATCTTATCTCTCTCTATATACAGTTGCAAGAAAAAGTATGTGAACCCCTTGGGATAACGCGGAGTTTTGCATGAATTGGTCATAAAATGTGCTCTGAACGTCATCTAAGTTACAACAATAGAAAAACACAGTCTGCTGAAAATAATAATACACAAACATTACATGTTGCCATGGTTTAATTGAACATAACATGTAAACATTCACAAGTGCAGGGAGGAAAAAGTATGTGAACCCCTAGCCTAATGACATCTCCAAGAGCTAATTGGAGCCAGGAGTGAGCCAACCTTGACTCCAATCAGTGTGATGATAT